TTCAACTGTGTGGATGTGTGTGAGTGAGAGTGTGTGTGTGTGTGTGTGTACATGTGTATATGTGTATAGAAGTCGGAGAGCATATTAGGGTGTCATTCCTTAGGCACCACTCAACTAGGTTGTTAAAGCCAGATTCCCGTCTGTCTGTGTCTGTCTGTCTGACTTTCTGTCTATCTCTCTTTCTGTCTGTCTGCTGTCAGTCTTGTCTCTCTCTTTCTCTCTCCTCTCTCTTTGTGTCTCTGTCTCTCTGTCTCTCTGTCTCCCCCACCACACACACACACACACACACACACACACACACACAAGAATCTCGCTGGCCCTACCTTCCCAAGACTAGGATGTAAAACGAACGCCAGCATGCCCAGTTTTCATGTGGGCGTGGGGACTAAATTCAGGTTTTCATGCCTACAGAGGAACTCTCCCAAGTGAACCATCTCTCTTAACTTTTAGGTTAAGCTCCTGCCCCCAAGTAGCTCATTAATGCTTTGAAATTCTAGCTATGCTTTTCTCTATCTATTATCTGTGACAAGGCCATCTATTTTTTTTAATGTATTTCAAATAAAATTAACACAAGAGAAATTTGAGTTGTAGGTCTATGCTTTTAGAAACTTTTTTTTTAAATCAAAAATTGTCTAGAATAAACATCGCTTTCTCTTTCTGAAGTTTCACTGAATAGTTTGACTATTGAAATTTTTCTTTTCTTCATATTCTGGTAATATTTTATATAACTATTGGTTGCTTTTGTTCTTCTGTGGAAAGGCTAAGCATTTAACTACTGCCTTTTTTTCTGGGAATAGGCAGTTTACTGGGTTGGATCACAATTACACGGAAAAGAAATTTATACTCAATACCACTTACCCTTTGTAAAAAGTTTTAAACTCGAAGTATCCCCTCGTCATTATCACTATTTTCTACCAAGACTACTGTCCCATAACACTTTCATCTTGAGTGCGTCTTGGGGATGAATTTCTAAACTGATGGTTCATTTACCTAGTGACCCTAACCCTGCTGCGGGTCTTAATAAGAAGGGAATGTGGAGGAATTCAGGGCTGTTACCGTGTTTCTGAACAGGGCTATATTTTCCCAGATACACAGAGTGAATATATGACTACATTTGCAGATAGGGGGATGAACCAATGGTGGTCATATTCAGAGTCAGAGAGTTTCCTGTCATTCCTAAAGTCACTAGTGTGATTACTGGAAAGCAGGGGCTGCAAAGAATTTGTTGTTTTGTGTTTAAACCCGAGTGGGTTCCTCACTGGAATTCTATCCTGCTTACACAATCTTTATTAAAAGTAGACTTTCAGAACCACTTAACGAGAAGAGACTACAATGTGGTCTATCCAAATGGCCACCTCTCCCTCCCAGTCTAGTGCTAAGAAGACAACATTTAAGGTACACAGAAGTACATTTTCTCTGTGAGGCACTCTGCCAGTCTTACTGGGGAAACACATTCTAGTCACTTGCCGTGGTAAATCACACTTAAGCTCCCAGTGTGTCCAATTTAGCTGCTGCTTGCTTGCCTGTTTGGAAACTTCTTGGTGACTCAGGGGCTGACTTTGACTATTTTGCGGCAAAATAACAACGTGTGGAGAAGCAGAGGCTCGTTAGCATGGTCAGTAGGTTGTCATTTTCTTGCCTCTGTTTCTCCCTGAAGCTGTTTATGTTGTTCAGACAGCCCTTGAACTTCACGCTTTATTAGTTCGTGGCTTTGTAGGGCCCAACTTCCTTGTTAACCTGATGAAAATGGTATACTTGCAACTCTGGAAAATATAATGAACATCAAATTTACCATTTTATTTCCACTTGATCTCACATTCCATAGACCCCCAAAGAAGGCCATTGTGGGCCTTGGGTTCAGAAACACTGCCAGGGACCATTCTCTGAGATAGACCCTAACACCCACTCTGTGGACCACTGCTGTGTGGAAGGCTTCCTCCAGACTCCAGGGAGTTTAAAAAGCTTCAGAAATATGTCCCTACACCCAAGACACTGATTTCATTTTATAATTTGAAACTATTCTATACAAACTAAAACCAACTAAACCAAATAAAGTTTCTAATATTCAAGCACTAGCTCAGCTATGACAAAGTTTACTCATTGCTGAAAGATGGAGGGTGTTTAACACACTGACACAAACAGCATATTCTCAGGAAGCAGTCAAGTGTTAGGGAGAGAAGCTACTTTTTCTTTCTCACTGCCAAGTTGTGAGCTGCTGAGAAACAACACAGTTCTGCGAAGGACTTGTTTCTAGGTCAGAGGTATACGGTTTCTGTTTACAAAGCCAGCCTATGTGTGAGATGATTGAAGTGATCCTTGTTTTCAGAGCCTTAAAATATGTAAAGTATAATGTTACATTTACCTCTGCTCTTGGGCAAAATTTATTCTAGATATTTTATTAGAAATGTTCTATAAGGCAGAGGCAGATGGGTCTCTGTGAGTTTGAGAAGAGCCTGGTCTTGCCGGGGACACACAGAGAAATCCCGTCTGGAAAAGAAAAATGTTTTATGTTGTTTCATGAAGTCTGTGAGCATTATGAATAAAGTCATATGTGTTTTCAAGGACTCAAAGGTGTCAGTGTGTGCATATTTGTGCTCATTATAGATGAGCACTAACACTGGTCAAAGGTAAATGCTGAAATGTCTTAATTATAGCTTTTTACAGTAGGGACCTGTAGAGATTGAATTCTTCTGGAATATATTTCCAGTCAATTGGCCCTCATCAAATTTTCAGATTCAGTATTCTCCAAAGAGTAATGAGGCTTGTTTACCATTCACTCAATCCCTGATCTCTGGAACACACAAATGCGCACGCACACACACACACACACACACACACACACACACACACACACACACGATAGACCGTCGAGACTAACAGGCTCTGAAGGACCCACGGCTTAAGATTCACTCCCAGCACCTTTTTTTCAGGTGTGACCCAGGGTTTTCTGGCCCAGCTTGCGAGATGGCATCCCAGACCTTCCCAATGTTCATTTCAGAGAGCTTTGGCAGCTCCCGGCTCTCCTCCTACCACAACTTTTACTCTATCCGTGGTGCTGAAGTCAGCTTTGGTTGCGGTGTCTTAGCCAGTGGAAAGGCCCTGGTTTTCAACAAAGATGGAAGGCGGCAGCTAATCACATCCTTTCTGGACAGCTCACAGTCCAGGTGAGTTCAGGTGGGCCAGAGCATGTGCAGAAAGTGTGTGATGGAGTTTGGATCTATTCTCAATTTGTACTCTTTTTCTTTCAATAGATGGATATTTATTATATCTTTAACTAGGCAGGAAGGATGCCTTGTTTAGAATTAATTGTTCTATTTTTTTTAATAACTACAGGACTCACCAATGACTCTGAGCTAACTGACAGTATTTTTTTTTAAATATGAGATGTTTGAATCAAAATTGTGTTCTTAAGCCAAAGGCTGGTTAATTATTCATGTGGTTTATTTATTTGACAGCTTGCAGGAGCTGATTAGATTTACTCGACGTAGTCCCTTCCCCCAGTGCTTGATAAATAATGCAGTAAAGGAATGATTGGCATTTTAAGCGTGTGTGCACAAGTACACAGTATACAAATAGTTACGAATGTAGCTGTATTTTGTAGATACAGCTATGTATATAAAATAATACACATCTACACTTATTTATACATCCCTCAGTACAATTACTTATCTATTATAAAACAGTGACCGCAAACTTCCAGCTTTTGAGCCATTAATTTAAAACGTGTTTGAAATTCTTTGAAAACAAAGTTTATCAACAAGAATGTTAATGTGCTTACCAACTGCGAATGACTCATGTCTAGGTTTCTCCAGTTCACGCTGAGGCTGGGCAGCAAGTCTGTGCTGAGCACGTGCAGGGCCCCTGACCAGCCTGGGGAAGGAGTTTTACTGCACTATTCGTATGACAACGGGATAACATGGAAACTCCTGGAACACTATTCCTATCTCAACTACCATGAGCCCAGGTATGTCAGAACACATTTACAAAAATGGACAGAGTAATGCTTCCTGGGATGAATCATAACTCAATTTTATAATTTTGTGGAGGGCTGGATTATATAAGATTCTGTATATTCTTCTATTATGATGAACAATTGGTAAGCGATATTTTTTAAAATCTGTGTCTTACTGGCTTTGATACTTGAGAGAAATATGTTCTTATGTTTTGAACTG